TAGGGAAACCAAAGAAGGAAAACCAGAATGCTGGTTAGAAACCCCCTGCCCCTTCCTAAAAGTTTTCCATTGCAATCCTAGATTCATGATCATAGGGATGCTTTAGATTTAATTAGTTGCATTTACTGGAAAATATCACTTTGAAATGTAAAATGCCCCCTTCTCTTTTTGAGTAATTAAAAAAAAAAATCACTCAATAAACTCACATGAAGTTTAAAACATTTCACATTTCTAAAAAAGCTCATAAGCACTTTTGTAATCCCAGGAAGAGACATGCAAGGGTTCCCCAGTAAACAGATGGTATTATCATTCAATCAACAGACTCATTTTTGCTTCCTCTAATTACAGGTCATTATCATTATAGCAGATGTGCATAATTTGTAAATACTGTCAGTGCAAGAATATTTGATTGTTCGTTACCAGAAAGAGAATGTGAGAACAGAGAAATCAGTCATACTACTGCCTTTGCTATTCCTTTGTTTACAGGTCCTGTGACATCTTCAGAGGAAATGGAGATGACAGTAACACATGTGAAAGATTTAATTTTTTCTATTGTAAAGCAGCTCTACAGAATCATTGAATTCTCTGAGTTTGAAAAGAGATTTTAAATGTGTATGTATGCTCAAAGCAGGGTGACAAATGGGTAGTTATTCTGAAAAAAAAAAAAAAAAGAGATAAGTGGGGTTCAACACTGGATACCATCTCTTTGAAGAGGTAGAATTTACACATGAAAATTACAAGATTTGTCTTTCTTTTTTATAATTCATTTTGGAATTGGCTTCCTTTTGCTTCTAGTTAAAGTTCTTGCTAACACGGTTGTATAATAATGATAATTTCTTCTATCTATAGTAAACAGTGTGCCCAAAAACTGTTTAACAAAAGCAGGACTGATATTAATATTCTCTCTTTAGGTGAGACTGAACTTTGTGGAGTTAAATTCTGTCCTGCAGATATCCAGGTGGCTCCAATAGAATAGCTGGTAATAGAATTTGGCTTTATATTTTTCTCACATCATCTGACTCCTGTAAGACTTTGAGACAAAACACAAAGGTGTTGCTTAGTTGGGTAGCCAGCCACTGAGAAAGATTTGCTCAAGTTTGGTGTTTTTACTGGAGTGAACCTCTAAAAGGCCAGCACTCACCCTGGGGAGCAATTTGTGAATATTTTGTTGAAGCATAGTACTTACAGGCACTCTCTTACACTTGCTTTTCAATAACATCAGAAAGGAAGACAAGCCCTCATTATTTCAGTCACATCTACCCATATGTCATTAGTAAAAGCTAAGCATAATTCACTGTACACAGAAGCTACCAAGTTTGCTGGGAGTATCAAACATGATATGATACTGCCACACTTCAGAGAAGAACAGGAGCCAGCAGAATGCAATGAATTATGAAACAGCTGGATTTCCAAAGCCCTCCCTTCTCCCCCTCATGTTGGACAATTTCTGCAGTCTCAAAAGTCAAGAACACCAGGGACTCTGTGGGAACCGCTGCCTCTGTAAGAGAAGGAAGTGAATGTGTGTGCCTCTGTGTGCATGGAACAGCAGGAGCATGCAGTATTTTTGGCAAGGGACTTGACAGCATCCATCTTCAGAAAACAATGAGGAAGGTGCTTTTCCTGAACTAAGAGGGGTATTTGATCCACAGACCGTGTAGCTCTGGTGGACTGTAATTGTAGCAGTTAGGAAATCAGACTTTTTACATCATCTTTGCCCTGTGTCTATGAGAGGGGCATTCTGTTCTCTCAAATCCAGAATCTCTCTCAATGCGAAGCCTTTTTTGATTTGTGGGCAACTGACAACAATCTATTTTACAAAGACAAAATAGTCAAAACGAATGATTGTTCCTCAAACTCCATGCCTGAATTCCTAAAACAGTATCCCATAAGCATCCTTAGCAGGCTCTTATTTTCTATTACTTTTTACAAGATCAGAATCCCTGTCAATGACTCCTAATTCTAGGGAAATCAGAAAGCAGTGCGGTAGTCATGGAGTGGAAAAGGAGTTAAGTCAACAACTGAGTCTACCGCTCTAAAGGAATAGTAACATATAGCAGAGTTTTCACTATTAAAATGGCATGGATAAATAAAAAAGAGGATTCAACATTGATTAGAAAGTTCATCAGTACTTAGATATCATCTAAAACTATGTCTGTTGCATGACTCCCCTATGTTTCACAAAATAAAATTAAATCAATACCTGGAGATACTGTCACGAGAAGCTGCTGAATCTAAACTATCCATCCTTTCAGATGCTTGCAAACCAGAATCTTGTCCAGGATTTTTATCAATTGAGTCCAGTCCTGACTCCTTAGAAAGTTTCATCATGTGGTTCTGGTAATACATATGGATGCTCTCCCGCGTTGGAACGTTCCCCTGTGGAAGAGAGCAGAGGTAGAGTTATGTGGCAGGGGGAAAGTGCATTCTTTGAGGAACTGTTTTTTTCTGTCATTTGGCAAGGAACAGATTAAGGACTGTGCAAATAGCTTCCTAATAAATAATAACCTCCTACTAGTAGTTCCTTTTCAGAGTGCAAGTCAAATTCTGACTTAAATTACCATGGTATAAAGTTTTTTCACTCAAAAGTGGAGCAATGCAAGTGGTTTCAGACTATATATAGCCAACAAAACTCTGCTGGGTGGATTGCAGATCTTTCAACATGAAAATGAGGTGTGGGCTGGGACCATGACTCAACCTGTATTCCAGCTACTTTTGAGGTATCTCTTTTAGATAGCTTCACTGACTCTAAAAACCAGTCATACATCTTATTAGTGACCAGTAGCAGTTTTTTAAACAGAAAAAAAAAAGAAACAGGTCATGTACAAACTGATCTAGATTTTTATTAGTGTCCCAAAATAAGAATTTACTCATGAAGCATGGATACTTTTTGAAAACCATAAAAAATACACTAAAGACTTTTACTCTTTCTCTGCTAATTCAAGATCAAACAAGTTCAGGAAAGGATGGTTTTATTAACTGTCAGCTGAGATCTGGGCACAGAATCAAGTCTTTTTGGCTATGATATTGCCATCAGAATTCTAAAGGTGTGTCATAAGAATAAAACTGAGAATTTTATAGCTGTTCTTAGGCAGAAACACATCCAACTCATTCCACTAGCAGTTGCACTGACTTCAGAAGATACACTGAGAGAGAAAATTGCTATTCCTGAACAGTCATTTTTCTGACTTACGATGAAGCCTTATGCAAGGACTTTTTCCAGCTAAAATAATAAAAGTACTCTAAAATACTGCCCATATTCCCTTTACTAATATTGTTAGTCACTAGTATTTAAACTCTGGTCCTCCACATTGTCCCAAATCTAAAATTTTAAAATTCTGAAGTTTTGTCAAAAAAAACCCAAAACTTAGGAACAAAATCTGAAACTCAGGTTTTTAATTAGGTTTGTTTGTATATAAGCTGTGTTGCTTCTGCAGCAATAAATGTTTGTGCCACTATGACAGCCTGCCTCTGAAATTATGGCACACGCTACACTCAAGATCTACTGCAGGCTTGTGACAAAGGACAAGAGCTGTGACAGCAAAAGTGCCCCACAACTAGTTTCAGGTTCTTCTGTAGCTGGAAGAGAGATCAAAGGAACCTCATACATCAGATTAACTGTCCCTGACTCCATATCAGACAAAGAAATATGTCGCCATGATGACTGCAGCAAGAATCTCCATTCTTGGGCAGCAATGTCAGGCATGGAGTGGCTACAGAGACTTGGGGATGTTATGGAAGAGTTGATGATTCTGATACCATGAGTACCAATATTTGAGAGGAGAGGAGAGGAGAGGAGAGGAGAGGAGAGGAGATACTTCAATAAAGTTGAGGTAAGAAGTAGTAAAAAATGATCAAAATAAGGTCCCAAATAATTAAGGGTCATAACAAAGCAGTTAGCCTGGCTTCTGCATAAATGTTAAAACTAAGAATTCAGGGGTGGTGAGAAAGAATCATGTGTTTTTCAGTTGAAAGAGCAGAAACTTCTGAGAACTGGGGCAAAAAGGAGCATCACTACAATGCTGTACTATCACAGTATGAATTTTATAGGAAGGATGGAATGGAAAGAGATGGTATGGGTCAAAAAGCATGAATCTAACAAATTAAGTAAATTCACTGTGCTAGGATTATCACAGAGTCTCTGTGGGTGGACTTGAATAAATTAATATTGAAAAAGCATAGTATGAAGGCTTGATTTTTGACCAACAAACCAGGAGTGTCCATTAAATATTAAGGAAGATTACAGAAAGTGCCATTAGAATAATAATGTACAATAACCAAAGTTAATTTTCAAATATAGTCATGTAGAATAGGTAAATATCATGAAAGAGCCTGCACACACGCACACACAAGTCACCAGAATGGGAAAGACCAGGAGGAAGAAGCAAGAAGACATCCTTCAAGAAGTGAAAGTCATGAGGAAAAACAAGTAAGAATTAACTTTCTAGAGTTCAATGTAAACCCAGCAAATTAGACCAAAAGAGATGCTGAGGAATAACCTGCTAAAATAAAATTAAAAAAAAATTGATAACAAAACCATTTTCAACAATAGTAGTTGAAAATGGAATACATCTCTGATCTACAGGAGACCCCAAAATGAACAGGAAGTAGGTTTAAAATGAACAAGAGGAAGTACTTCTAAAACACACCATATGGAATGACACTATAGTACTCTGTATTGTAGGATCTTCTGGAAGCCAACATTAAAATTAGTTTAAAAAGGCACTAGCCAAACTCCAAGAACAGAGACTTCTTGGTATAATTAAACATAAGAATTCAGATGCAGTTTCTGGTTTAGGGTGCCCTAAACCATCCATTGCCACAAGCTGGGGCTTATTCCAAAGAAGCATTTACTCTGAATATGCCACTTTTCTTTTGCTCTGTTTTGGGGCATTTATTATTTATTTAGTTGCTATTATTATTATAATTATCCACTTACTATTGGACACCTTGGGGAAAATGACTGTAACTAAACACTAACACTGAAGCAGCCCTCTCTTCGTGCTCTGTGCCTCCTGGCCAGACTGGGTACAGATTCTCTCTGACCAGGAAAGCCTGCCTCTTGAACCTCCCGGGGTCCTGGGCAGCCTGCTTATTGTGCCAGCTGACGTCAACAGTAGCCAGGCAATATGGGGCTTTATTAAGGTCAACAGTACTAATGTGTTGTTGACCTTTTTGACCTATTTACCGCTGAGACAGTCTGTAACTTTTAACAAAAACTGGAAAGAACTAAAAATGAGGCTTCTATGCCAGGTTTCCAGAAACAGTTGGGTAGCTAGTGACATATGTAAAAATACCTGTGCTTAAAATGAGAGCTTTATGCAACTTCAAGGTACTACCTACTTGCATTTTGAAGATCCAAATACATTTCTAGTTACACTATCAACATTAATCTTTGATAATAATGAGTTTTACTAATATATAACTAGTTTGTGGAGGACCACGTAACTTTATTGCTAGTGAAGAAAATTACACCTGTATGTTGTCAGTCATTTCCAAGGCAATGCTGGTGGACAAAATACTGAAATATGCAGACTGAGGTAGTGTTTCAGCTGTTTAGAATGTCATGCCTTCTCCTCTCTACTTAAATCTATCCTGTCCCCTCAAACCCACACCCTATCACAAGTGTTTCAGCAAAATCCCTGTATCAACTTCTCAAAGAATTATTTTTCCAAAAATTTGTTTTGTGTCCAGATAATACAGTAATTTATTAAGTATATATTTATAAAACAGCAAGCAGTAAAAGAATTCATATCTATTTTTAAAATGCATATATAAGCAATATTTTTATAATTATTGTCCCTAACAGAGTGATCTGAAAAGATAACCTTTCATTTTTCACTGAGCTGGAAATGGCATTATCAAACAAAAAAGACCAAAGGCGTTTACCTTCTTAATCTCCCTGGTCAGCATACAGCGCTCAATTCTTAGCACAGTGGAGATATCGATGTGTTCTCTAGAGATGGAATTAAGCCAAGCTGTAAAACTGTCTAGTGTTGCCAGGAAAAGGACCCAAGTGAACTTCAAGATATTGAATATCCTCTTGATGATGTTATCTAAGGGAGAGGAAAAGCAACAGATAATTAATGAATATAAGTATTTTTCATTGTATTTCTTCTTGGAGTTAGAATCATTTTTACTTTATTGTCTAATAATAATAATTGAGGCTGCAAGACCGTGTCATAGTAACAAATCTCTGAAGATGGCTGCAGGCTTTTTGCCTGCCTGGGCCATTTTCCTGCCTGTATGTCTAGGCTTATAATCTGAAATCCCTTTTACACTCTGTAACTCCCTGGTCCTGTAATCACTAGTCATATAAACAGTCCCTGATTTTAGAGAGATGCTGTATGCACAGGTCTGCAAAATGAAACCCAAAGATTCGAGCACTTCTGAGAGCTATTCAACAACGCTAGCTCCCGTGATCTCAACAGTTGCTCAGGCAGCGTGTTGAGCTGAACCCCTTACTTATCTATTTACTTGTGTGTGTTTCTCTCTGCATGAAGTTTGCCTTTTGTGCTTGAATCTTGCTTAGCTGAGTTTTCAAGTCTAACCTGCCCAAACAATCTTTGAATCTCTCCCTGTTTTCCAACCACCTAAACACACCTCCCTGTATTTAATGTTTCCAAAGCCTCTCTAATTTTAAATAGGCTGCTTTGTGATCTCAGTTCAACTAGCCCAACTAGGATAAATCATATAAATAATTTATAAAACGTTACTTTTGCACCATTTTGCCAAAACAGTACACTTTCCCATGAGTAGGGCTTATGGGTTTACACCAACAATAATAGCTTTGTTTTGCTCAACACAGCTGTTGTAAGTTAATGTCTCCTTTCAGTAGTTCCTTTAGCATTAACAACTGCATTTCTCACCCAAAAAGCAGCACTTTCAGCTGATTTTTTCTGCCACTCCCAAACATACACACTGTACTATAGTTCTTATATAGTGTTGAACAAATGTTAAAAAAATTATTTCCAACTAGCCAGTTCCAGAACTAGTTGTCTCTGCTAGGTTGAAAATCCCAAAGCACTAGCTATAATGATCAATTTTAGAGTAGCCATCCTAAGAAATAATAGAAAACTGTGAATAATCCACCATACAGGGACTAAATGTTTGAAGCAGATACTAAGGAGCCAGCCTATGTGCTAAAGCATGATGCTTTCAACAACTTCACTTCTTAGCTGTACCACAAGATGGCATGCAAAACTGTGGACTGCACATTTGCTCCTTACAAAGGATGCAAAGGTGAAGCTATACTAAAGCAAAATATTTCCGATGGAGGAACATGCACGTGTCTCCGGGTGTGTAGGCAGGGTTCTATATACGTATGCGCAGAGATAAACTAAGGAAACAAACCCATTAGTTGTACATTCCTGTAAAGTGGATGCTGAAATGGCAGTATGTACCATTTACCTGAGTCATGCCATGGAACTGGTCTGGTATCTCTGAACATAAGGGCATTTAGCTCCCTTCACTTGGTGAAATATTATTTCAATAATATTTTGCCCTTTTTTAGGCTTTTTCTATGTCACTTGAAAATAGAGATATTTTATGATTTATCTGCTTAAATTTTATTCACTCATATTTCAATGTGCAGGTCTTGAAGCTAAGTAAATCTTGCTATTGGAAATTAAATGTAACGCTGTTTCTACTTCAAGGCACATTAATGTCCTTTGAATTCCAGATAACATTATGAATAGGTTAAAATAAAATGTAACACACATACAGAACAATATACAACATATAGATGTTCTTTCTTAACCCACACTCTTCCTCTCTAATATATAATTTTTGCTACTGACTTAATGAGAATTGCAGCTCTAAGCTTAAAATTATCTTTATTATTGACCACTACTGGCATGCCATAGTCCCATCACAGTGCTTTGCAAAGCACTTCCAGTCTAATTTGAAAGGTCATTTTTCTCTCTGGGATGGAGGTAATTTAGTATACATTTTTAATGACGTTGTAGCTGTTCTGGCAGCTTTGCTGTTCTCCAAAACTTTTTAAAAATAATATTTTGGGGATCAATTGCATCGAAACATCTTCAAAAAGGAAAATAAAAATTTATTTTCTGCAGAGTCTGTTACTCTAACTTAAAGGGTCAAATGCAGATAAGGCTTCTCTCTGCCTGAGAGTGTGAGATAGGATTTGATCTAAGGTTAACAATTATTCTAATGCTTCATTAACAATTACTGCCTAATTTTTCCAACCATTTTCTTCAACAAATTTTACCTAGGAATGGTCAAAGTATTTCAATGAAAATATAAAACATCTTAAATTGAATT